GTCCCTCATCCCCATCACTTCCAGAGGTTGTATATAAATGGTCTGAATCCTCACTTTCATCATGAACCATCTCAACCCGATCTACATTCTTTTGGCAGCTAGCAACCTCACCTAATGTCTCTTGGTGAAGAACGTTAGTCCAATTCATCTCACTCACATTTGAGTCTTCACTAAAATGGAACTCACTATCCTCAAAACTACTCTCACTTGCAACATAATCATCATCTGTGCTATCTGCTCTAGCATCATCAACATTAGTATCTCCTACAACTTCATCAACATCAGTATCTCCTACAGTTTCATCAACATTAGTATCTCCTACAGCTTCATCAGTCTTATCTTCATCCATATTAGTATCTCCTAAGACTTCATCAATCTTATCTCCTACACCTTCATTAGTCTTATCTTCATCATTGTTATCATGCACAACATCTTGAAAATCTGCCTCAAGGTTAACATATGCGCTCTTAAACCATGTACATTGTACATCATCTTCCCCATCATCCTCAATGTTAGAATTGACTTCACCATCATCAATCATCTCAGGTATCCCCACAATATGCTCCACATACACATCTATTATATCATATCCTACAACATCTTTTGAAAACTGTAGAACATCCTTATCATTGTTCAATGGTCTAAGACCACGGGAGAAGCTATATGCAGGATTCCAATACTGCACACACTTGATATTTACGTAACCCTCACTCTTAATCATATCCTCCAATTCCATGTAAGACATATAATCGACATCCCAACTCCAATTCATCTCAATAACTACCCCATTTACATACCACTTAACAGGTGTCTCAACTAACTTTCCCCTATGATGTATTCTCAACCTAATCTTATTAGAGTTAGCTGGCCTAAGAAAAAAATTGACAAAACTAGAATCAAATAAGGATAAACAATACTAAACAGCTCGGACCACAAGTGTAACACCCTTTTCTACCCCACAAATATAATGGCAAACAAATCATATTTATCAGAGTAACATATTGAACGAAATAACATCATCTTAAAAGGGCACACATTTCTCAAAAATTCAATTATAGAACAACGGGTTTTCCTGTAATTACTCAAAAAATATTACTCAAAAGGCAGCGAAACTCAAAAAGGTAATAATCCAAAGTTTTCCTTGCACCACAAGGCAATCAACATAACAAAACTCAATAAAATATAGTTTGACTCAAAGACCCCAACCTGATGTTACACTAACAGAGCAAGACCCTCTAAGTCAACCACAATGACCAACGACCCAAAAACTTCAAAAGTCCTCGACGGTATCCACGGCTAAACCTGGTCATCTGCAAGTTACCCACGTGGAGGCAACATTCAAACAGGCAGAGTGAGTAAAATGATTCATAATAATCAATATAAGAATCAATATATAAAATGGCGTCATTTTCATATTCAACATCATCATAATCATCAAGGATCATCAAGGCCACAACATTATAAATTACACCAAATGGTCACATAAATGCAAATGCAACAAGACTCATGCATGTGGTACCAATCAACAAAATTCGACGGACACTGGGCCATTAACCCTCCATAGATCCACAACAGTAAGATCGATTCTACTCGAGAATCGGAGCATAACAAAATACCTGACATCCGTACAATGAGACTGAAGCCACAAAAATCAAGGTCCTGAACCGAAGTCCGAATGCATATGAATGCATGATGCACACGTCAATATCATCCTCATAATAAACTCATCAGGTGCATCATCATTCATCAAATTCATCATAATAATCATGTCATCATATAATCATCAAAATCTCATAGAATCAACATCATAAATCATCATAGTTCCTCATGGGGATTCATCATGCAATCATGTATTAATCACATAGGAATCACAGTTATACTCATGGTAATTCATCATATATTCATTTAATCACATAGAAACCACAGTTACACTCATGGTACTTTATCATACATTCATTTAATCATATAGGAATCACAATTATAATCATGGTAATTCACCCATAAAATCACAGCATCAAGACATCACTGAACCAGAACATAATTGACTTCCCAAACATATTAGATATAAAAGTATTGGGAAACCAATTCTCTTATCTATACCATGTTATATCCCTGTTCATTAGCTTTCCAACACTTCAAACGGGGACCAAAACGGACTTACGGATCAAAAGTTACGTCCAAAACGATTTCGACCGAAAACATGAATAGTCGTGACGGACAACATGCATAATTTTCTGCGTTTTTCACCGTTGGAGACCTTTCGGACCTCCGATTTCGATTCCGTAAAAATTCGAACTCTCAGAAAATCACAACTCATCCAATACTGTAATTATCTCAAGTAAATTTACAATTTTAACACAATTAAACCATCTAATCATCGTTTTAAGATTATGCCTAAAACCTTTAAAATTAATGGATATAAGTTCAATCACGTATCATATTTACGCCTACAATTCCCATAATTTCTTACAAATACCCCACACTCATTAAAGTTCTCACAATCACTTATCTTATACGGTTAAACAACCTCAACAACATATTTTTAGCCACAAAGGCCTAATTTCCCTTACTCTCAAATCAACCTCAAACCTATCAGACCATCAGTTCAAATCCCTCAAACTCATTGAACTCACCATCAGAAAGGCAACAACAATTCAATACTCAAAAAACCCTTAAATTAGCTTTAAATACATTGAATCACATATTGAAAACAATGAAGACAATACTCCTCATACCTTAATTGTCGACTCTAAGCCTTTCTCCTTAATTCTTGGAAACCTCACGAAACTTTGCCTCAATCCTCTTCCTCAGAGCTCTGACCTCTATTTCTTCCCTTTTCACGATCTAACAAGAATGAATCCTAATTCCCTCAAAATTCATTTTTGTTAAACCTAACTTTGGGCCTTTAAAACGGGCTTTCCAATTTCACCCTCACTAACTCCTCCTCAAAAGTCCACTTTGCCCTCAATTCACTTATATTTATTTAAATTAATAATAATATCAATATATTCATATTATATACTATTATTTAAATAAATAACCCAAAATTCATAATTCTCAATACTTCACACCAACCACCGAAAATCACCAAAAATGTGAATATGCATATTTAAATAAATTAAATAAATATTTCAAGAATTTGGGGTGTTACAACTAGCATGACAACAAAAGTACATCAAATAAACATATGGGATCACAAGCACGACAACAACAATACATTAAGTAAACAAATGGGACCACAAGCACAACAACAACAATACATGTAAACAAAACACAAACAGACACCTCTGAAACAAGGGACCACAAGAATACATTAACCTCGTTACCACAAGGACAACGATACGTACCTTACACAGTATTTGACTCTTTCGTTTATCTCCTTTTGACTTGTTGTGTTCGTCATCTTCATTAAACCAAACACCACTGAAACACATTGAACGCGTTGGACTACGGTTGTGATTGAGTGATTGTAGAATTTTACTTGTTATGAAGGAAGAGTTTCAATGGGGATTAAGGTTTTTACTTTCTGAACAACGAGGGTATGAATTGGGAAAAAAATGCTTGACCTAAATATATATTATATTTTCATCAATTTTTAATTTGTTTCTTTAATTTAAATAATTCATTTTAATAGTTTTTGAATTAAATTATCTGATTGGAAATAAAATATTACAAATTGATGACATCGAATCATAATTGTATGAAGGACCAAGTAAATTTAAAATGGATCTAACTTAAGGTTCCAAATTAGGAGATTTTATAATAGAAAATTAATTATTTAAATTACCAAAATTAAAGGACCAAAATGTATTTAAATCTATTTATTTTAAAATTACAAAATTAATAATTTTATACATAGATCAATTTAAATACAAATAAGTTTTCAAAATAATAGACAAAAAATAAGTGAATTTGGATTCTCTGTGGTCATTGTGATTACAAGATCCTACATTTGATTCATAAATGAAATGGAATTGGAAAAGAGATAATAGTGAGAAATGTAATGACAAATCTAACCCCTAAAATACACTAATTACACACCAAGTGCATGTGAATATATATATATATATATATATATATATATATATATATATATATATATATATATATATATATATATATATATATATATATATATATATATATATATATATATATATATATATATATATATATATATATATATATATATATATATATATATATATATATATATATATATATATATATATATATATATATATATATGCGCGCGCGCGCGCGCGCAGAATATATACACTAATTTTAAAATAACTATTGCATTTTTTTTATAGAGATCAACAATTAAATAAAGTAGATATATACAAAGGGAAAAATATTTAAATAAAGAAATATATATAAGTTTTTTTTTCAAAATAATTTATTAGTTAAGAAAAAATAAATAGTAACGAATATTATAAGGACATTTTTTAAATACTTAGAAAAAATTCAACAAAAAAAATATTTATTCAATACATTAAAAATTAAAATAAGTCAACAGATTTTTTTGAAAAATATTAGAAATTAAAGAATTTAACTTTTTTAAATAATAATTTTTTTATTTAAAATTCTTAAATAATGCCTCTTAATTAAATTACCTATGCAATATAATAAACTTTCAATAAAAATGAACAGTGAGTTACTTCATTAGTCAGCTCCGTGTAGTTTTTGGTCAAAAAAAAACAAAATTTCGGCATTTTATACTTATTATACTGAACCGAATAAACTGTTTATTTTACTAGATGAACACGTGGCAAACTTTCATTGGCAAATCGTTTTTCTAACGCTTTGAATAAAAAATGCGCTCGATATTTTTATAGCCGTTAGAACTCATTCTCTTTTCTATCACTCATCATTTTCTCCGTATTCTAGAAAGAAAAAAAAACAACACTCACTAGTTTCACATTCTTCAACCCTAATTTACAAAGACTCAATTTTTTTTTTTAATTTTACAGAAAATTCCGTTGAAAAATCTCACAAAAATGAAGGGAGTGAAAGGAAAATTGCTGAAGAAGCTGAAATCAATCAAACAGATTGGATATCTAAAGCCAGATCGAATTCTTCAGGTGAAATCCAGTGATGGGTATGCAGATTTTCTCCCAAAGATTTCATCTTTCAACATATCGAATCCATTTGTTTCTGGAGAAAACGAGGGTAAGAAAAATGTGCAGAATTGCGAGAATTTGAAGGAGGGAGAACCGGAGATTGTTGATGTGTCAGAGCTCATGAAAGGTCTTGAAGATGATGAAGAAATGGAGGGATTGGATGATGATGGTTGCGAAGATAACAAAGAGAATATTTGTTACAAAGGAACAGAGTCGAAACAGAGTGAGGTTTTGAGAGATAAGAAGCCGCCACTGTTGCCGAGAGGTAATTCTGATAGGAAAAGGAAAATTTCTTTTTCGGAGAGTGAGGATTTGTCCTTCCGGAGACCGGATTTGAATTCCGGTAGCTTGTTTGATCCGAAGCTACTGGCTGCGTTTGAGGAAGCGGTGAAGGAGCATTGTAGAATGACAGAGGAACAGAGGAGAGCCAGAGTTGAGGAAGAGTCTTTACAGAAAGTTAAATTTGTTGATGATGAAGTTGAAGTTGACCCTTTGTTGTTGTTTGAAGAGAAATGTCCACCGGGTGGTGATGGAACTGTGATTTTCTACACAACATCGCTTACCGGAATCAGAAAGACTTATGAAGACTGCAACAGAATTCGTTTCTTATTGCAAAGTTTCAAGGTTTTGTATCTTGAGAGAGATGTATCAATGCATAGAGAGTTTAAGGAGGAGTTATGGAGCATTTTGGGTGAGAGAATTGTGCCTCCGAGGCTTTTCGTTAAGGGTAGATACATAGGTGCAGCTGAAGAAGTTATGAGTTTGCATGAACAAGGGAAGTTGAAGAAAATTCTTGAAGGGGTTCCATTGGATTGGTCTAATGGTCCTTGTGATGCTTGTGGTGGTTTAAGGTTTGTGATGTGCTTTAAGTGTAATGGTAGCCATAAGATTTTTGCTAAGGAAGAGAAAGATACTAACGAGTGTTTGCAGTGCAATGAGAATGGATTGGTTGTGTGTGCTTATTGTGGCTAGATAGAGAATGTTGTTCATGATACTATACTTGTTTGTTCAATTTGTTGTTGTAGTGTCTATAATTCTGTTTTGTGATTACATTGATAGAGTTTTTTTGGATGTGCTATAAGCACTTATTTCATTGGATGTTTGCACTTTTTCTTGGCTAAAGTCTATAGTTGTTTCAATATCAGATTCTGTGCCTATAATACCATTCTTGCTTTGATGGTTTTTTTCCCTCACTATTTAGTCTTATCTCTATGTATTCTGTAACGTTAGAATCATCAATAACTATTAATACATAGTTACATCTCTTCCACTTCTACATTTCAAACCTATCTCTTCATATCTATCTTTCGTCTATCTCTTCTCCAAATCTCAAAATGTTGCAGCCTCAAAAATACCCTTTTGTTCTCTTACTTTCGTCGTTGTTTTTAACATTCCTCTATCAATGTTGTGCTACTCAATTCATAGTGGGGGATTCAGCAGGTTGGGTTATTCCACCATATCCAACATACTACACCTGTTGGGCAGATTCCCATTTCATTAGAGAAGGAGACTCTCTAGGTAACGGCCTAATCAATGAATATTTCGATTCTTAAGTTCTTGCTTTGATATATGTATATTATGCTAGCTACGAACATTTTTATTATATGTTTTTTGTGATGTTAACACAGAATTCAACTTCGATACAAAATTCTACAACTTAATTCAAGTATCAAAATCTGAGTATGAGCATTGCACAGCACTTGAACCTCTGAAGGTATTCAATACTAGTCCTATAAATTTCCCATTAAAGGAGAAAGATGTCTACTACTTCATATGTAGTGTCTCAAATTATTGTTCTTTAGGTCAAAAGATTATAATTGATGTCCATCGAGTTTCCTTACAAATTACACCAGCACCATCAGCATCACCTCCAAAGATATCTCCACGATCATTACCAAATGGTTATGCTCCTCAACCAAGTGCTGCCATGATTAACCCTTCAGCGTCTATAGATGTACCGTCTCCTACACCTTTAGGAGGTCCTGCTTCACCATCTTCAAGTCAAGGGGTGAAATATGATTTTGATGTGGCATTATTGGTTTGTGTTATGGTTGGTACATTCCTAGGATTTTGGATAATATAGGAAGGGTATGGAAATTTCAATGTTCTTTTTAATCTTAGAGGCTGATTCTATTCAGGGACTTGGTAGGGTTAACTTTGGGTTTGATTAACTTAAACTGTGATTCTCATTTACTTGTTATGCTATGTAATGCGATGGTTTGATTTTTCTGTATTTGAAGAGACTTTGTAGCGTTCGGAAATTAGTTCTTATGTTCAGACATATATTTTTCACATTTTTACGCGCGACTTATAATATTTTATTATTATTATTAGGAATCACATTTCTCACATATGTGTTTTTTATATCTACTTTCATAACAAGGTGATTCTGGATGTTATTGCCTAGAATTTTATACAGAACCCATGACTTTATGCCTCCCAATCTCTGAGTAACATACCCAAAAGTTGATAGAGAGCTAGTAACCAAAACATCACATAAACTTAATGAATATTTTCTGTCAACGCTTTCTTGTTGTGCAAGTTGTGACCAAATTTTTTATGCTCTTCATGATTAGCTGATAAGACTTTTTTTTCTTTCCAAATATATAGTCTAAGGGTTTTCACCATACTTTGCAAGTGAGAAACAAAATCTATTTCTCAACTTAATCAGTTAATTAAAAAAAATCACTGTAACAAGTACAATTTATTCTATATATCATCTCATCAACTAAACAAACAACGAGTCAGACAAGCAAACAACTAACCAGCTGATCACAGGTCTAGTCGATTAAGTACCAAATTTAACTGCATATGGAACAGCAATCCTCAGAAAGACATTGATCTGGATTATGCAGATCGGTATATCTTCCTACAAATAGGACAGGTCAATTTCATTCTCAACCAAGGATCAACACAAGCCACATGAAAGAAATGTCCACAACCAGGAAGCATTCTCAACAAATCAGCTTCTTTATAATCCATCAAACATATGGAACAGCAACAACTACTGACCGAATTAATATTATTGCTGTTACACAATTTTACTTCAGATAATCGCGGAAGCGTGCTAATTTGATCATAGCTTCTACACACATTTGCAGTATTTTGATCAGCTGGTTCCACTACTACAGTTATTGTGGTGTGGTTGTTTGTTTCACGTGCAATAGTAGGGTGTTGAGGTAGAGGTGATAAAGTTGGTAGAGTGCATAGATAAGAGGCAATTGTAACTATAAGGGTTATAATTATTAAGCATACAAGAAACAAAATGAAATAACCCATTTTTTTAAACTCTGCATCATGAATGTTCATGTCTAGTGGCTATATTTCATGAGATGATTTTAAGCATGGTTTTGTTTATATATGTTAATTTACGTTATGGAAAAACTACTATGTGTGAAGTGACGTTTTTAATTATTTGTGGTGTTTACCGTAATGGCAAATCTATATGTCCTATAATTTATGTAACGTTGGAGCTTTAATCTGTCCTATTGTAAGAAAAATATTCTAGTTATATACTGCTGCTGCGTACCGTGAGGATAAAAGAATCTTGAATTAAAATTGCCTACTATGAATTAATTTAGGTGACTAAAAATTTGTCCGTGTCTTTCTCTTAATCAATTATGCTCTCTCATCTACTCATGAATATTGGGATGGGATAAAATACGATAGAAGCTTAACTTCTTTTCATTTAACCAGAAATTTTAGATTTGAATATAATCTTAAAAATATAGATTACGGAGAAAGTAGTTATTTTGTTTGATAAAGAGTGACGAATGGCGGTTAAAGACATTGTGGTTGGTGGAGGTCTTTTTTTGGGGAATCTTTAATAGAGGGTGGATTTTTTGTCTATTAGAGTTGGGGGTTTGGTTTTGTACTCAGCAGTAGAGACTGTCTCATATGCGTTTGTGGTTTCTAGGGCTCAATCTTAGGTGTTACAGGATCATATATTAAGAGGCAGTGGGATATATGGTATGAACTTTGATTTTGATAAAGTTTTAGATGATCTTAGTGTTGTGATTCCAGATTTTGACCTTAGCGATTTTACTAGAAAAGACACCATCCCTCCTAAAGCACAACATGTTTTGGCGAGCGCCCTTTTTAATAAAAGTGTTCAGGACATGGATGTAAAGTTTGACATGATTACAAGACAAAAAAATTGTCTTTGGTTGTTTGCAAACAACACATGCTCAAGATTTTCTCCTTACTATCCTTATTGACGGTCTAGGCCAACATATGTCAATGGTAGAGTACTATACCATCCTTAAATACCTTCTTATGATTCCCTTATTTCCTGTTGACGAGGTTTGTCCTATTTTCCCCAATGTGTGCTTAGATACATTTCGGAAACACGCTATTCATTGCAAGGAGCTTCCAGGATTCAAATACCGACACAACCTTGTTAGGGATATCCTATTTGATATATTTAGGCGTGTTGGGGTATCTGTGAAGAAAGAGGTGCATGTGAATTTCTTGACTAAACCACGGGAGGGGAAATCGGCTCTTAGACCAGCCGATGTTCTGGTGAATGAGTGGATAGGAGAAAAACATGCATGTGTCGGCTTGACCGGAGCTTCCTCATTGGTGGGATTTAGGTCTGTAGGTTTTTTCGTGGGACAAACAGCTCTCAAAGCTGCTTTAAGTAAAGTAGTCAAGCGTGAGAAAATGTATTTCGATAATCAACATGCTTTCATGCCATTTGCCTTTGACACCTTCGGTTTTCTAGCACCAGAAACAATGGATCTTTTACAGAGAGTGCAAAGACTCGTGCATAATAATGTTGTGTCACCTAGGACAATGAATGTAGTGTTTAAGAGGATTGATTTTGCCATTCAAAAAGGAGTAGCGACGCAACTTGTTGCCTTTTTGCCTATTATTTATGGATAATCTTGAATACATATATATTATTAAAAATATATTTTTTTATCTATTAACTTAGTAGTTAGAATTTTGCATTAAACAGAATACGAATCTGTATCACGCGTAAAAAATTCTCTCTAATAGAGTTTGCATGAGTATTCCACTGCTAGGATTTACTGTTGCAAACCATGAAATGCAAGCTCAAGAAGAGGATCTAAGGGAATGAAGCACCAAGAAAGTAAAAAAAAAGGAGTGGAGGAGTCAACCAGAGGCAAGAATAGCGTGGACGCGGTGGTTCTCAAAATCATAGCTTCAATAATTTACAAGAATATGGTGACAGGTGAATCATATGATACGATGAATAATGAACAACTAGAGTCAGAGGATGAAGTTCTTAAAGGGTTAAAGATTGAAGAAAGGAAATTTGGCAATTACAATTGCCCTGAATTCATTCTTTCAGACAAGGAAGAAAGGTGAGTAGAAAAATCATGGAAAAAAAGTTATAGTTAAGATACTAGGAAGAAGAATAAGCTCAAAAGCTTTAGAGAATCAGCTAAACCAGCTATGGGCAAATAAATGAGTCTTGAATATAGTCGACTTAGGGCAAGAATCTACCTCGTCACGTTCACCAATGAAGAGGATCAAAATCTTGGTCTTATCCGTGGCTCATTTATGACCACTACCTCTCTTTGAGAAACTAGAAGTGTTGATGTGAACCTCCGAATTTCTCATCGAATACTATGACGATCGTGTTCTTTCATTTATTGGCAATCAAATTGGAAGAGAGGTGAAGGTGGACAAAAAATGATATCAAGGGAGCGAGGGAAGTACACGCACTTGTGTATCCAAGTTGATTTGATCAAGTCCCTCTTAGCCATGTTCTCCATTAAGGGAAAACACTATAAAGTTGAGTATGAGGGTATGCATATGCTATGTCTTTCTTGTGGAAAGTTTGTCCATTATACAAAAGGGTGTTTGGAAAAGACAAAATGGGAGTGGAACAAACACTTGAAGGTTCAGGAGATAGTAAGGACAAAGGTACATAGAAGGAGAATTCAATAGCTGACAAGCTAGACCATAGACAATGGTGCTGAAACTTAAGAGACAAAAAAAGTGATTTCAAGAGACTAGGGTACAAGCAGTGGAGAAAGATGTAGGAAGCAAAGGAAGTCAAGGTAGATAAAAGGTGCAAGCCAAAGAAAATGGCTCGAGATTCATGGCGTTTAATGAAGAAAAAGGTATAGACATAATGGATGAACATAATAATTGATATTTTAGAAGAAAGGCCATGCAATGAAAAGGAAGAACCAATCAACATGAGAGAGGCAAATGGAATAAGGGAAGGAAAATATGTGGGTGAAACCAAGGCAGAGAAAAGGGAAAAGAATAAAATGTCGAAATCTCAATCAAGGTTGATAATTGCATCTAAGGGTATCACAAAAGACAAAATTAAAGAAGGAGTGACATGTGAAGGAGACATGAAAAACACAGATGGACTGATGAAAGACAGAGAAATGGGTGCACTTGTTAAGGTTTTGAATCTAGAGGGTGGACTGAGCAATGCTGGGCTGGAGACAAAGGTGGAAAGTAATGGGCTGAATAAGGGTACATGCCATAACTTGAACAAACTGAGCCCAAAAGAATTGGGGGCCCAAGGATCGAAGGCTAGGGTAAAATTAGAAAATATGAAAGGTTTCACTGCTTCTGAGGAGATATTGAATGAAAAATGACATGAATAAGAGGGCACTAGAATGTTAAACACAAGGAAGATTGGGGAATCGGAAGATGGCGGTGACTCAGACATGATGTTGGTTGAAGAAAATCCATCTAGCCTGCAAGGGGTCACATAAATTAATTAATTGTTCTAATGATCTGGTATCAATGCAAAATCTTAATTTGAAATTGTAGAGGCGCAATGAAAAAGGTTTTTCTTTGTGTTTGTAAGAATTACACTCATATGAACACCCTTTATATCTTCATTATTCTAAATACCAAAGTTTCCCTTGGAAAACTCCATCACAAATTCATTAATCTGGGATTCAAAGAATATGTGTATTTGGATGTTATTGACTTCTCAAGGGGCATATTTATAGCGTGGAAAGTCAAGAAAATAAAAATCTCTATTGAAAAATTGAACTTTCAATTGATTCATACAAGAGTCAAGCTTCAAGGAGGTGGAGAATGGTATTTCACACCTCTCTATGTGCGCCCTAGGGAAGAAGGAAGAAAATATAAGAGAATCAAATACGAATTTAGCAGTATCTCTATCGGTAATCTTCTCATACTCAGTGTATAAAATGACATTTAGCAAGATAGTTCTTGCTTTGTGATGATTCTTATAATCTTTCTTCTGTTGATCTGTCATCACTCTTATTTCAAATTTATTGCCACTTGCATATATTGGGTGTACTTAGCCATCGACTACTATGTCCCACAGATCAACATCGTGACCCAGAAAGAAACTTTCTATTCTGTCCTTCCAATAGTCAAATTTGTCTCCATAAAATACATGAGGTTTAACATTGTAGTGATTTATATCATTTGTTTGAGCAACTGGAGGTGGTGGAATATCGTCCATTTTATTTCATACTGAATCTTTATCTGACACTGTTAAGTGTTTGATAATCTTATAAAGACCAGAACCGAAGCTCTGATGCCAATTGAAGGTGGCAAGAAACAAAAGAAATGAGAGTTTGAATCGGGTTTCTAAAAACCAAATCTTTTTCAAAACCAACTCAACAAGTAATAAAATGAATAATAAAAATAACAAGTTATTTTAATACTAGTTCACTGTTAACGAAGCTACCTCTAATCAACCCTACCAAGGTGATTTTTTCTTCTTAATAAGGACTTAATCCACTATAACTGAAACTAATTACGAACACCACAAAGACTAACCGTCTTTTTTTCCCGAGTATATATGACTAAACCCTAGTCATTCAAGGAAAACCACTCAAACAATATTGAGATTTATAAGTTGTGTTTACAAAGAGTGCTTCTAAGAAAGAAGATTAACACAAGTTAATACAATGAAAATCTCACACAAATAACGAGTAAAAGCTCTTTGTGTGTTTGCAAAGAATATACACAAAAAATAATATTTACTTTAGCAAAGTGTGTACGTTCAATAGTGTGATTAGTATCGGCAACTTCTTCCAATCTTCACGTCTCCTTTATATAGGTAGTTAAAAGATCCGTTGGAGGGTAGAATTGGAATAGCACAATGCCGCAGTCTCTTCATAACAGTTTGAAAATGGGAGGAAAAATGGTAAAATAGTATTATCCTTCACCCACAAAATCAGGATAGTGGAGAGACGAATGATCTTGTACTGTGTACAATTTTTCTGACATAAATTTTTTTGATCTTATCTTCTAATCTTCAGAGGCTTTTGATATAATGATGTTGAAGCATGTTTAGAAGGATCAATAGACAAGTTGAGAGAATCTTCAGAACCTTAGTCTTGAGAGACTTGACACAGTTCCTCAAAACCTGGTCTTCAGATGTTGTTCTTTAGAATCTTCATAACTTGAGCACAATCTTGAAGGTAGACAATCCTTAAGAGGATCTTCAATCAGAGTCGCAGTCATAAGTTTTAGCACAAACGTTCTTTAGAACCGTTATCTAAGATCTTTCTAGAACTTGATATTATAGTGTGAAACACTTGTATCTCTTTAGAGTCAGAGTGTGTTGATTCCAGAGTCTGATGACGTCACACGTTAAAACTTCAGAGTCAGAACCTATTAAGCAAAAGCTACACACTAGACATGAAATCATTAGCATAAAAAGTTATTCTCTAAAAAAATGTATTGTTATCATCAAAACTAAAGGCCTGATGCAAAACCAAATCTTGTTTTAACAATATCTAATTCCTCGATGCCAATTCAAAGTTCAGGGCCGAGTTCTCTTACCATCATATTCTTCTTATATTTCTTAAGGATCACACTTTTAATAGACCACACAAATCACTCATGTTTGAATGTAAGTGGGGTTTGGAGAAATCATATGAAGCGATGGTGTTAGATGCTTGGGATACAAGTACTAATTTCAAGACTAATCTGAATATAGTCAGAAATGTTTTTACTAAGTGGAACATGCACAACGTTAAGAGTATGTATCATGAAAAAACCGGTTCATGAGAAGGCTCAATGGTATTCAAAAGGGAAGAGGACATGCATGGCTAGGTAAGATAGAAAATTAATTCAACAAGATCTTACTAAGATCTTCCATCTAGAGGAATTAATGTGGTTTTAGAGGTCAAAGATGAAATGGATGGAAGATGGGGACATGAATTCTAGGTTATATAATGTCACAGTAATGATCATAAAAAAGGAAGTTAATCAATTTAATTAAAACTAGTGATGCAAAATGGACAAAAAATTATGAGGTTATTAAAAAACTCTTCAAAGACTCGTATCAAGACCATATACTTCTGATGCATATGTATTTGAGTGACACCTTACCAAAACCAAATATCCTGAAATGGAGAGGTAGGTGGTAGATAAATTAAATGATAATTTGAAAGTTGAAGAGATCAAGAAAGAAATTTTTGAGATGGCACCTTGGAAATATTCTAGTCCATATGGATTCCCAGCTGGCTTCTACCAAAAATATTAGAGCATTGTAGGCACTAAGTTGTGCAACTATGTCTAAGCCATGTGGAGTCAACCAACTAGCATCACAAAGGTAAAATTCACTAATTTGTGCCTAATTCTTAAAGTGCCTAACCCGCAATTAGTGACTCAATTTAGACATATATCCTTAGGCAACATAATATAAAAAGTATTGAGCAAGAGTATTTTTAATAGGCTTAAATATATTATTGAAAAAGTAGTCTCCCTAGATTTATTGTTGAAGAAGTATTCAAAAGAACATAATAATGGGTCAAGAGATGTTACATAGTATGAATATGCTCAATGGTAAAAAAAGGTTTCTTTGTAATAAAAGTGGACCTTGCTAAAGCCTATGATAGGATGAATTGGAGATTTGGGAATACCATTCTCTTAGAAATTGATTTCCATGACAAGCT